GCGCGCTGTATCTACTCAATAGAGCCAGTCGGTTTTCGATGACCCCGGCCACCGATCCAAATATGCATCCTTCCCGAGCGTCATCCCAATCATCATCGGCACCTCCTCACATTACCGCCATCAATCATGGTCATCAATCATGGTCATCATCATCATCATCATCATCATCATCATCATCATCATCATCATCATCATCATCATCATCATCATCATCATCATCATCATCATCATCGTTATCGTCATCATCATCATCATCATCGTCATCGTCATCGTCATCATCATCACCATCACCATCACCATCACCATCACCATCCAGGATCGCCAGGGGAGCGCCGAGCTTCGGCGGAGGAGGGGGAAGGATGATGGCAAGAACCTGATTTTGTTCGTGCGCTCTGCAAAATGCGCCATCCGCAACCAAAGCTATTCCAGCCAGCGTCGCATTTCTGGCTCCGCTGGCACCGCGAAAGATCGCCAGAGATGCTTTTGCCAGCGTCGCATGCTGGGCCACCGTCCACTTGACGACTCGGAAGAACACCGCTGACGGCGTTGATCCTGCGCGCCCTCAAACTCCGAAGCGCGTCGGAGCAGATCACCGCGGCGATCTGCACCCCCGCTGTCGGCCGCTGCAGCTGTTGCGGCGCAGCGTTGTGATCCAGTGCGCGCAGGTTCCCCGCGCAAAAGACCCTGGCTCTTGTGCGAGGGTGACCGGCGGATCGTGACTTGCCCGCCATTCCGCACTCGCCTGGTGCGGGTCCCCGGAAAGCGCCACGGACGCACGCGGCACATAACAGCCTCCATCTTTGGGCCAGCCGTCGCCCCGCTGCTCTGACTTCCTAACCTAGAACCACGCGCGCGCGAACGCGTGGTCGGCGAACTCCTCTCCTAGGATCGACTTCCCACTGCCAGCGAAAATGCCTCGAGAAGTTTCTGCTGGGCCACCGCCTCCCGCATTTTTGCGGCAGCTCTTGCAGCCGAGGTCGCCAGGTCATCCGCGCCGCCCGCGCGAAAGCAGCGAAACGCTTCGACGGGATCGGTTCCAAGGTCGCGTCGGAGTTCAGGCGGCGACATGTCGGAGAGCATTTTGGATATCATGCCCATCGTAGCCTCCTCCTTTTGGACGCATTTGGAGAAAACCGTTTCCGCTCGGAGGCACTCATCGACCAACCTGCTCTAGCTGGGGCATCGTTGCAAATGCCTGAACAAATATGTCTCGAGCTTTGCCTTGGCGATGGTCACGATGCCATTTTTTCCCCGCAGCACGGGCCAGTCGAGCAAGCGTCGAGGAGACACCAGGCGACTGCAGAACACAATGAGATTTTGCAGCGGCGGCGCCAATCAGTCAGGTCGCCCGGGCGCCATTGCAGCGCTCGATGGGCGAGGTCGGCGGGGCCTGTTGGGCAGCCCGCGAAACACGGAGGCAGCCTCTCCGCCGTTGCAGCGCTGGGGCATCGGACTGACCCCTGCGCCGCTGCAGCCTCCGTCCCATAGCGAGCGTCACGGGCAAGGACTTCAGCTGCGCGGCCCTCTTGCGGCCTGGTCGCGGAACCCCCGAGAAAGCAGCGATGGCAGCCCCGCTAGCTCGGGCGCGTCGGAACACCAGTCGCCCCCCAAAGCACCATTGAAGTACCGCATGACGTTATCGAGCGTCGCTGGGAGGGCCAACGATACCTCCACGCGGAGTTTCGATATCTTGTTGCGCTGCGGAACTTCGGGCTTCCCTGTAGGACTCCTGGCCTTGGTCTGCACTGCAGAACCCCTCAAATCCTCCACGATGGCCGCCCCGCCCCTGCCCTTTAGCAAACGAACTCCACGCGGAGTGCTTCAATTTGCTGCAATCGGGCGTAACTTGAGTAACGGTTTGTCCGGGGAGTTCGGCGTCCAGCCTTCTCTCCCTTGCCCACTTTTCGCACTTGAAGAATCACTGTTGGTAGATGCCAAGGGTAAACGGTTCTGGCGTCTTGAAGCAATCCTGTTGCCAGTCGTCGAACCAATCACTTGCATGGTTCATGCTAGTCCTCAAAAGCAATACTTTCCCAGGGGCTTTACCAAAAACAATACATTATTCGAGTTGTGTCGCCACATCGTTCACCTTCTTGGGTTTTCCAAAGTCCGTGGCCACGTTCATCTTGCGGGACAGCGTGACACGGCCAAAAAACCATTCGGATATCTTCGGGTCTGCCATTGCTCCGTCGCCTTCATGTCGGCCTCTACGTTTTCCACGGGGTTCCGTCACGTTCAGCTTATCATTCAGCAATTACCACAGGTCCCCGTCCAACTTGGCGTTGTCGTCGCCACCTAACTCGTATTCCCATGTTGCGTCGTTGCCTTGTTGTTTGATGTGCGGCCCGTATTCGCTGGGTGTTACGTCCCGCTGGTGATCTATATCGGGTTTCAGTTTCGTCAATTGGCAACGCCCCATCCATGGTTTCGAGATCGTTGTTCACATCCTGCAACGCGTTCTGAGATAGTTCTGCTTCACCTGGGCGAGCGCATTCAACAATGGTCTGGTCGCCCGAGCAAGCTGTTCTTAACCATCCTGTGGTGTTGGGTCATCGTTTTGACGAAAGGTCCCCACGTTCCTTCATCGTTCCTCTTCCCCCTCCTCTTTTTTCTCATTATCATCGTCATCATCAGCATCATCAACATCACCGTCATCACCATTATCGTCGTCATCATCGCCATCATTGAAACCAATGTTGGCAGACCCCTCACACGCTTCGTGGCTCCATAGAGAGCTCCACCGAACGTGCCACCGTCAACATGCGTCCCCAGCACCCATTTCGGCACCCCTCACACGCTTCGTGGCCCCATAGGGAGCTCCACGGAAGGCCCCTGTGCTAACGTCCACATTCGTCCCCAACACTGATTTCGGCACCCCTCGCACGATTCGTGGCCCCATGCGGAGCTCCACCGAACGTCCCAGTGCCACCGTCCACGTGAGTCCCACACACACTCATTTCGACACCCCCTCACACGTTTCGTGGCCCTAGCGGGAGCTCCACCGACGGCCCCAGTGCCACCGTCCACATGCGTCCCCCATACCTATGTTGGCGCACCCCTCACGCGCTTCGTGGCCCCATAGGGAGCTCCACTGAAGGCCCCACTGTCACCGTCCACATGCGTCCCCCCCAAACATATTTCGGGAACCCCCCTCACACGACTTGTGACCCCATAGGGAGCTCCGACGAAGGCCCCAGCGCCAATGTCCACATGCGTCCCCCACACCCATTTCGGCACACCCCGCACACGCTTCGTGGCCCCATGACGAGCTCCACCGCAAGCCCCAGTGCCACCAACCACATGCGTCCCCCACATTCATGTCGGCACACCCCTCACACGCTTCGTGGCGCCATAGGGAGCTCCACCGAAGCCCCCCGTGCCACCCAGCGCCCACATGCGTCCCCCACACCAATTTCGGCAGACCCCGCACACGCTTCGTGGCCCCATAGGGAGCTCCACCGAAGGCCCCAATGCCACCGTCCACATGCGCCCCCCGCGCCGATTTCGGCACATGCGCTCCCGGCCCCCATATGGATTCCACCGAAGGCCCCAGTGCCACCGTCCACATGCGTCCCCCGCACTCATCCTGGCACACCCTCGCACGCTTCGTGGCCTCGTAGTGAGCTTCACCGAAGGCCCCAGCGCCAATGTCCGCACGCGCCCCCCGCACCCGTGTCGGCACACCCCTCACACGTTTTGTGACCCCATAGGGAGCTCCACCGAAGGCCCCAGTTCCACCGTCCTCATGCCTTTCCCGCATCCATGTCGGCATACCCCTCACACGTTCCGTGGCCCCATAAGGATCTCCACCGACGGCCCCAGTGCCACCGTTCAAATGCGCCCCCCACAGGCACTTCGGCAGACCCTTCGCAAGCCTCGTGACCCCATATAGAGAGAGCTCCACCGAAGGCTCCGGTGCCACCGCCCGCATGCGTCCCCCAAACACATATGAGCACCCGCCTCACAGTCTTCGTGGCCCCAAAATTTAGTTCCACCGAAGGCCCAAGCGCCACTGTCCACACGCGTCCGCCGCACCCTCTTTTGCACACCCCTCGCAGGGTTCGTGGCCCCGTCGGGAGCGCCACCGAAGAAGAGATCCACAATTGCGGTACCCGTAATTGCATATGGTTGGGTCTTTCGCTTGGCGAATTACCTGTTGAACCGCCTTGGATTCTCTTTCGGGCTTGCTTCCACGTCCTCCAGACCGAACATTCCCAGCAGACTGTATGGCCCCGGCGATCTTGGCAACAGGCTTCGAAGCGTTCGCTTGGCGTTGAAAGGATGTCCGAAAATGTTCTCTCAAGTTACCGAACTGTTCCTCGCAGAACAGGTCGTGGCTTATGATTGGTATCAAACATGCGTTCCTGTTGTAGCTCATTTGCAACATTGTGAATGCCTCGTCGCTGTCAACCGTTGTGGTACCCAGCGGAGCGCTGCACTCGATTAGCAACCTGTCCTTCACGATTCGCGTTGAACGCTGTGTCAACATACCTGAGATCTCCTTTTGTCGTACCCAGCATTGCACAGTTCCGCGAATCGGGTCTTGCTCAGATTGTGCCAGCTCTCTCGGACCCCCGGTAAACGTCGAAACCTGGGTCAGCTGCTCAAGGATTCGGCGGAGCCGTCGCGGCTGCCACCGCGGACATCGCAGGAGGTCGACTACCTCGCGGAATTAACCGCGCGCTTGTGATACCGTGGGGGCGACCCACGGGCTCCGCGACCATGAACACATGACGGGAGCCGTCATCCCCCCTGAGGCACACAAAACCGAAACCAAACACCAATGGTATCGGACAAACGTGCAAGATAGCCAGGAGTGGATCGGACATACTCAACAGCACCCCTTCTGATCATCCAATCGGAACGCCGCAAGCACCTCCGCCGCCTCCTCCTCCTCCTCCTCCCCGCGCTCCACCCCCCTTCGCTTCTCCTCCCGGGGCCCCCCTGCTCGGCGGAAGCCTCCCGGAAAGAAGACGGGGGAGGCTGCCAAGGCCGCGCGCCTCGCGTCCGACGCGGGAGCCTCCAGGCTGAACTCTGCGTCCTCCGCGCCGCCCGCGCCCGCCCGCCAGCGCGCGGGGAGCCCACTCGTCCCCCCAGGGAGGACGGCGGACAGGCTGGCGGCTGGCGGGTTCGGGAGTCTCCTGGCCTCGGCCACAGACCATGAGCCCCCCGGCTCGCCTTCGCGGCGCGCCCGCCCCCGCATTCGCCGAGGCTGCGCTGGGGGGGGGGAGGGTCCCTCCCTTCCATCTCGTCCTCCGATCGTGATGGGGGGTGCAAGACCACATTCCCCGACGTTGGCGGGGTCATCGACTCGGGGCCAAACTCGGGGTGGTACGGCGGGGGGGGCGTCCATCCTCGATGGGGGTGTGTCCAGATAGCCCCCTGGGGGTGTGTCTCTGGGTTCCCCCTCTTTTCCGAACGGCCTGGGAGGTCGGGAATTGGGGGCGAGAAGTTGCCTGCGATGCTCTGCCCCTCCGCCTCCCTCTTGGTCTCCAACGGCGTCGGAGTGAAGAGGCAGTGGCCAGAAATGTATCCTCTTCCTCCTGCTCGTCGTCATGAGCCTAATCCTTTTCCTCCTCCTCCTCCTCCTCCTCGGCCCCCTTTTCCTCCGCCTCCTCCTCCTCCTCCTCCTCCTCCTCCTCCTCCTCCTCCTTGTCCTCCCTCCTCCTCCCTCCTCCCCCCCTCCCCTCTCGTCTCATCGTCCCTCATCTCATCCATTCTCCATCCTCCCTCCGGGTCCGTCCATCCCGCTTCGGGGATTTACTGCCCTGGGTCCATGCAAACCCGGGTCAGTCCGGTCCCGCAGAATCCTGCAAGATCCTGCACACAAGCCCAAGTCAGCTCACACGCAAGCCTAGGTCAATGCATCCATGGCTCTGCAGGATGCTGCAGAATCCTGCGCTCTGGCTGACCCCCGTTTGCAATGACCCCCGTCCCTTGTGTCCCGACCGCTTCCCCCCTCCATCTTCCCGGCCCTGGCGCATCTTGGTCCAGGGGCTTCGGGGTGAAGAGGTAGCCGCCCGGAAAGTGCACCACGAAGGTGCCCTTCAGGCGCTGCTGCAACCTGCGGGCTGGGGGAGCGCCCAGTCATCCAGTCATCCGTGCCGCCGAGGGCAAGAGGGCCTCACCTTTGAGGAGGACGAGGCGGGATGAGGAAAGCCCAGCCAATCGAGGATTTTCTTGGAGGGCGAGATGGAGGAGAAGTTGTTTTTCACAAGCGCTGCACTGCCCACAATCAAGCGGCTCCACCTGTACGTGGGCCAACTTAGGGTGCGCACCCTTCGGGATCTTGCTCCATGCTACGGCGTCACAGTCAGATATAGCTTTATGTTATGAGTATTCTGTCTGGCAAGGAGGAGGAGGAGGAGGAGAAGGAGAAGGACAAGAAGCAGCAGGAGGCGTGAGCAAGGCGCCGCCGTCGCTATCAATATCCGGGCTCTTTGCACGGTAACAACAGGGTACCCTGATGTGTCGCAAGACAATGCCGTCTTGGTTCAGCGGCACACCTGGCCTTTGAAGAGAGGGGGCTCGAGGTGTCTCGTCACCTTCGGCCACCAGGCGCCCGTTCTGGTCAAAGGGCCATCATACATCGGTGTGGGGCGACAGACTGGCCAGGATGAACCGCGGGACGGGTCCGGACTCTGTGGATCAAGTTTAGTTGGATTTCTGTCGAGGGGGCTGGAGGGAGATAGGTAAGGGGCGAACATGCGGCGGAACGCAGGGGGGAGGGGGGGATTGGGAGAGAGGGTTAGGGAGGTGGGATACAAAGGGAGAAGGTGAGGGACAGGACGGGAGTGGAAAGAGGGACGGGTGGGAAGGGCTGCGGTGGGAAAACTGTGACTTCGTTACAACGAATGATAGGCCGCTTTGTTGTTAGAATATCGTCTCTTACCCACGCACGCACACACATAATCCAAATGCCCATCCTGGTGATCGGCAGATGGTAGTCACTAATGCTTCCACAACGGGGTTTGCCGAGTGGTACCATCTCTCGAGGATCGCGGAGAGTTCTTGACTAGTGCTTCATTTCGCCGGCTCGATCGCCCACATCTCCAGCATCCAAAACCCTGCTAACGATGGCGCCGTGGGGGGCCTAAATTACCTTCACGACTGATCCGGTACCGCGCGGTGTTCTGCACGCGCTCGCCAGGCGGGGGGGGCAACCTCCCAAGCAGCCACACACGATCCCAAGCATCGTCCGCCGACTCCTGGTGCTCCTTTGCGCGTCTGCTGTTGCAGCGCGCGCTGCTGCGTGTGCAGGCTGCTTCGCGTCTGCAAGACGAGGACGGGCTTGTCAACGTTTTCTTATTCAGCGTTTCGACATTGGGCGGAAGGGGGGGGGTCTGGCTCTGGACCTCTGCTTGGTGCGAGTGTCTGCAGCCGTGCGTCCTGTGGGGGAGACTCCACCTGCTCGAAACCGGCTCCCAAAAACAGCCAAGATCTACTCCAAGGGGGAGGTGTGCGAAAGCTCGCGCCGATCGACAAAACAACGAATAAGAAAACGACGACCTTCGCCCCCGCCGTCCCGCCAGGGGGTGCTCGTGGCTCCTGCGGTTCCTCGCCCTGCTACTCTCGTACGGACGAGGGGACGAACAATGACACAAGCATAATTATCCTGGCGACGGACCCAACCATATGCAGTTGTGGGTACCGCAATTGTGATTACTTTCTTCGGTGGAGCTCCCTATGGGGCCACGAAGCGCTGCACTGGGTGGGGGGGAACGCATGCGGGCGGTAGAACTGGGGCCGTCGGGCGAACTCCACTTAGGGCCACGAAACGCCGTACTGGGTGGGGTGAAAATATCAAATTTAATTTGGTGTGTGGGACGCATGCGGGCGGTCCCACTGGTGGCTTAGGTGGAGCTCCCTATGGGGCCACGAAACGTATGAGGGGTGTGCCACATTTGGTTTCCAGGACGCATGCGGACGGTCCCACTGGGGGCTTCGGTGGAGCTCCCTATGGGGCCACGAAGCGCTGCACTGGGTGGGGGGGAACGCATGCGGGCGGTAGAACTGAGGCCGTCGGGCGAACTCCCTATGCGGCCACGAAACGCCGTATTGGATGGGAAGAAAATGCAAAACCTGGTATGTGGGACGCATGCGGGCGGTCCAAGTGGTGGCTATGGTGGAGCTCCCTGTGGGGCCACGAATCGTATGAGCGGTGTGCCAAATTTGGTTTCCGGGACGCATGCGGACGGTCCCATTGGGGGCTTCGGCGGAGCCCCCTATGGGGCCACGAAGCGTTGTACTGGGTGGGTGAAAATGCCAAATTGGGTTTCCGAGACGCATGCGGACGGTCCCACTGGGGCTTCGGTGGAGCTCTCTACGGGGTCACGAAACGCTGTAGTGGGTGGTGTGAAAATACCCAAATTGTGTTTCAGGGACGCATGCGGACAGTCCCACTGGGGGCTTCGGTGGGGCTCTCTATGGGGCCACGGAACGCCGTGCTGGGTGGGGTGAAAATGCCAAATTCGACTTCCGGGACGCATGCGGACAGTCCCAGGGGCTTCGGTGGGGCTCTCTATGGGGCCACGAAGCGCTGTACAGGGGAGGGGGGGACGCATGCAGACGGTAGCACTGGGACCTTCGGCGGGGCTCCCTATGGGGCCACGAAACGCTGCACTGGGTGTGGGGAACGCATGCGAACGGTAGCACTGGGACCTTCGGCGGGGCTCCCTGCGGGGCCACGGAACGCTATACTGGGCGTGGGGGACGCATGCGGACGGTAACACTGGAACCTTCGGCGGGGCTCCCTATGGGGCCACGAAACGCTGTACTGGGTGGGAGGAACGCATGCGAACGGTAGCACTGGGACCTTCGGCGGGGCTCCCTGCGGGGCCGCGGAACGCTGTACTGGGTTGGACTGGGACCTTCGGTGGGGCTCCCTATGGGGCCACGAAACGCTGTACTGGGTGGGGGGGACGCATGCGGACGGTAGCACTGGGACCCAGGATTCCCTGGAACGCACTCCCCCTCGTCCTGGCCCCGTCCGATGTAAAAGGCCCCGTGGGCCGCGGCCTACTCCGCCCATTCTCGCCTGCCCTGGCCCTTCCCGGTGCCACCCCCGGGAGGGCCAGGCCAGCACCAAGGACACGCCGCCGCAGGGAAGCCATCGGCGCGTGACCGCGGGCGAAGAAGCACCAGGCCTTCGGGTAAGAACGACGGAGGGACGGGTGACGGGCTCCAAACGGTGGCGTACCGTGAATACTCTCCTGTCCCTTCCGTTAATCTCTCTCCTACTCCTCCTCCTCCTCCTCCTCCTCCTCCTCCTCCTCCTCTCCTCCTCCTCCTCCTCCTCCTCCTCGTCCTCCTCCTCCTCCTCCTCCTCCTGCTCCTGCTCCTGCTCCTGCTCCTGCTCCTGCTCCTGCTCCTCCTCCTCCTCCTCCGCCTCCTCCTCGCCAAGGGCGGGGAAGGCACTGCTCCCAGATCTGCTGCAGGACCCACCTCTCCTCGCGCACGCTCGTGGCGGCGGGCTTGAGCTGGTAGACGAGCTGGTAGATGGACCCTGCCGTCCCACTCGTCGCCCCTCGATCCTTCACCCCCTGAGATTCGACGTCGCGAATCAATCGGAACATCGTCAAAACTCACGACCAGAACCCCAGACCCTAGACCCCATCCTGCTGCGCCATTTCTCGAGCCACATTGATCTGTGGAAGCGCCAGGCCCCGAAAACATACAAAAAACGCACGGCTCGAAAAATGGAGCCGCCAGGATCACAGGTTAGGAGGCAGCTGCTGGGATGCCTTCGTCTGAAGAATCGAAGAGAATAACAAAGCCCCATTGGGGGGCTGTTACGCTGGACTAGGCCGCAGATTCAGCGGGGTTTAGCGGGAATATAGGTACACCGGGTTGAGCGGGATTCAGAAGGATGAAGCCGGATTTCGGACCAGGGCAACATCAGAATTGGACCTCCCAGGAATTGCATCTGAATTCGGGGGCCGCTCGGCTCGAGCGATTTCTCGAGCCGCAGCGAGATGTGGTGGCGCTGGGCCCCGAAGGCAACACAAAGTCGGGCTCGAACAAAAAGCAGCGACGCCCGGAGCTCGGGGGCCGCTCGACCCTCGATCCACCCTCCGCCCGCGCGCCGAAAAGCCCGCATGGGGACGCCGACCCACATGGTGCGCTCCTGCGGGTGGTGGGGCATCGGGCAGGCCCGCAACACACACACACAGAGGAGCAGCAGCAGGTGGCTCCGTGCTCCCGGGTTCACCTGCACTCCCGCGCTCACCTGCACATCGCTCGCGAACGTTCTCTTTAGCACGGCGCGTGGACAATTGTCCTTAGCCTTGCGCGAGGAAATCGGTTCAGCAGGGCGCGAACGTGCTGATTCGCAGCATGGCGCGAGGCCACCGTTCCAACCATCGAGCGCGCCGTTGCGTCTTGACGCGCGGATGCTGCACTGGCGCGCGCGGGGCAAGCTGACCGGGCACGATAGCCAGCGCCCAGGTCCCCCGGACGGCCCATCTCACCTTGGCTGGCCCCGGGCACGGGTATCCTTCGGACCAATGAAAGCGCACAGCACCAAAGTCGCACTGAGTGGTGGGCGGCGTTCCCCGGGCGACGGCGGGCACTCGCATTATAGTGTAGTTGCCACGCTGTCTCTCTGCCCACGCCTGGAACCTGGATGCAGGGCGAGCTGCGGTGGAAAGACTCTGCGTCCTGCGTCACAGGAGCAGGCACATACCCACATCTGCACATCGTTCGCGAGCATGTGTTCCCAACCCGTTTACGAACCGCTCGTTCTGACCGTCTCTGTTTCCCCTCAACCGCGCGGCCGTGCACCGGACATTTTCTGAACCGTTGAAGAGCAGTTTGCGAGCATCCGGACAAGAGCATGCCTCTCGCCCTTCCCGACACATTGCTGGGCACGCCCAGTCCGGACTCTCTCTCTGGGAGGCCCGCCCTCGGCGAGGAGGGGCCCGGCCCAGCGGGAGAGCGGGAGCCAGACCGCCTGGCGTCTCGACCAACTCGAGGCGGAAGCCTTTCCCAAATTTCGGCCTCTCGAAGCCCTTACCGGGCCTCGAGACCGTCAAACGACGACCCGAGATGGAAGACCAGTCCCGTGAAGTGGTCGAGATGTCGGAGGCCCAAATGTCAAAAAATCGGAAAGAACGCGTTTCATGGGCGCCTGCTTTGGGAACATTCGGTGGCGCATTTCAAACCGGGGGGTGGCCCCACCCCCCTAACACTCGGCGCCGTCGATCGAAACCAAGGGGGACCCCCCTCCTTCCCGACCCCCCCTCCCCTCCCGAACCCCCCCCCCTCCCTTCCCGCTCCCAGGGGGGGGGGGGGGGGCTTAAACACCCCGCCCCCCGTCGGCGCCGGCGCCGGCGCTGGCGGCCACCAGCAGCGCCCATGGCGGGGACGCAACGACGATGACCACAGGCAGCTCAGGGGGGGGGTTCAAACCCCCCTCCCCCTCGCGCTGGCGCCGGCGCTCGCTGCGGTCAGCAGCGCCGCCGCTGGCGCTGGCGACGGCGGGGACGCAGCGACGATTTCCACCGCTACCACCACCACCGCCACTACTACCACCACCACCGCCTCAACCCACCACCACCACCACCACCACCTCCACCAACAGCACCACACAACCACCACCACCACCACAGCTACCACCACCACAACCACCACCTCAAGTCACCCTCACAACCACCACCACAAAAACCCACCACCACTACCACCACCACCACCACAATCTACCACACCACCACCACAGCAACAAACACTACCAGTAGCACAACCCCCCACCACATCCACAAACCACCACACCACCACCACCACCGCCACTACCACACCAAACGTCCACAAACCACCGCCACCACAGCGACCCACCACCACCACCACCACCACCGCAAACCACCACAACCACCACCACCACCACCACCACCACTACAACCACCACCACCACCACAACTCACCATCACCACCACCACCACCACCACACCACCAACCACCCACCACTACACCACACCACCACCACCCCACCACCACCACCCACCACACCACCTCCACCACCACCGCCACCACCACCACCACTTCCACAAACCACCGCCACAACCACAATCCACCACCACCACCACAAACCACCACCACACCACCACCAAACCACCACCACCACCACAACCCACCAACCCACCACCACCACCACAACCACTACAAACCACCACCCACCAAAACCAAACCACCACCACCACCACCACCACCACCACCACCACCACCACCACCACACCACCACCACCACCACCACCACCACCACCACCACCACCACCACCACAACCACCACTACCACCACCACCGCCACCACCACCACCACAACCCACCACCACCACCACCACCACCGTCGTCCTTGTCGACGCTCCCCGCCACAGCCGCCCGCCGCCGCAGGCGCCAGCCGGCGTTGGCCCACAAATGGAAATCGTCGTCCCCGCCGCCGTCGCCAGCCGCCGCCGCCGACGCAAGCGTCGGCCCGAGGAGAGGGGAAGCAAGGGGTGGACGGGGGGGGCCGGGGGGTTTGAACCCCCCCCCTCCGTCACGGGGGGGGGGGTGTCCGGTTCCAACCCCCCCCCCATCCCTTCCAAGCGACCACAGAACGCGTTTTTTCAAAAATCGAAGCGCCATGTTTAGCGGGCCACCCAGGCAGCGTTCGTGCCCCTTTGGAGCCTCCAGCCAGACTGCAACGGAGGGCCGGAAGCCAGGCACAGGGGGCAGGGCTCGCACCTGGCACAGATCGACCAAAATGAATGAGATCGGCAGGAGAAGGAGGAAAACAATGAGAACTTGCGTCGATGTGGCGAAACCATCGCCTTCCTTCTTTTCGAGGGTGGTGTGCGTGTGCGTGTGCGTGTGCGTGTGCGTGTGCGTGTGCGTGTGCGTGTGTATGTGCGTGTGTGTGTGTGTGTGTGTGTGAATGTGTGAATGTGTGAATGTGCGTGTGTGTGTGTGTGTCTGTGTGTGTTTGTGTGTGTGGGTGTGCGTGTATGTGTGTGTGTGCGTGTATGTGTGTGTGCGTGTGCGTGCGTGCGTGTGTGAGAGAGAGAGAGAGAACAAAAAAAATTAGCCTGGCGAAGAACCCAACCATATGCAGTTGTCAGTGCCGCAGCTGTGGGTTTCATCTTCAGTGGAACTCCCCATAGGACCACGGAACGTGTGAGGGGTGTGCCGAGATGGGTTCCACTGGAGCTTTCGGTGAAGCTCCCTATGGGGCCATGAAACACGTGCGGGGTGTGCCGACATGGGTGGCGGAAGCGCATGTGAGGGCCGCCACTGGGGGCTCCAATGGAGCTCCCTATGGGGCCCCGAAACATGCGGGGAGTGTGCCGGGATGGGTGGCGGAGACGCATGTAAGTGCCTCCACTGGGGCCTTCGGTGGAGCTCCCTATGGGGCCACGAAGCGTGTGAGGGGTGTACCGGGATGTGTGGCGGGGACGCATGTGAGCGCCGCCACTGGGGCCTTCGGTGGAGCTCCCTAATTATGGGGCCACGAAACGTGTGAGGGGTGTGCCGAACTGGGTGTGCGTGACGCATGCGGGCGGCAGCACTGGGGCCTTCGGTGGAGCTCCCTATGGGGCCACGAAGCGTGTGAGGGGTGTGCCGAATTAGGTGTGCGTGACGCATGCGGGCGGCAGCACTGGGGCCTTCGATGGAGCTCCCTATGGGGCCACGGAACGTGTGAGGGGTGCGCCGAGATGGGTTCCACTGGAGCTTTCGGTGAAGCTCCCTATGGGGCCATGAAACACGTGCGGGGTGTGCCGACATGGGTGGCGGAAACGCATGTGAGGGCCGCCACTGGGGGCTCCAATGGAGCTCCCTATGGGGCCCCGAAACATGCGGGGAGTGTGCCGGGATGGGTGGCGGAGACGCATGTAAGTGCCTCCACTGGGGCCTTCGGTGGAGCTCCCTATGGGGCCACGAAACGTGTGAGGGGTGTACCGGGATGTGTGGCGGGGACGCATGTGAGCGCCGACGCTGGGGCCTTCGGTGGAGCTCCCTAATTATGGGGCCACGAAACGTGTGAGGGGTGTGCCGCATTAGGTGCGGGTGACGCATGCGGGCGGTGCCACTGGGGCCTTCGGTGGAGCTCCCTATGTGGCCACGATACCTGTGAGGGGCGTGCCGGGATGGGTGGCGGGGACGCACGTGAGCGCGGCCACTGGGGCCTTCGGTGGAGCTCCCCATGGGGCCACGAAGCGTGTGAGGGGTGTGCCGAATTGGGTGGGTGTGGGTGACGCATGTGAGCGCCGCCACTGGGGCCTCCGGTGGAGCTCCCTATGGGGCCACGAAGCGTGTGAGGGGTGTGCCGAATTGGGTGGGTGTGGGTGACGCATGTGAGCGCCGCCACTGCGGCCTCCGGTGGAGCTCCCTATGGGGCCACGAAACGTGTGAGGGGTGTGCCGAATTGGGTGTGCGTGACGCATGCGCATGAGAGCGCCGCCACTAGGGCCTTCGGTGGAGCTCCCTATGGGGCCACGAAACGTGTGAGGGGTGTGCCGAAATGGGTGTGGCTGA